CAAATATTCACTCCAAATTTCAAACGTTTCCCACCAACCCAACGGGTTTAAAGAAATAGTGAACCTTTCTTTTGAGACACCGCTTGTAAAATAATTTTCTGAATACATGTTTTTGGATAAAAGGCCACTTCTGAAGCCCTTTTCTTTGTTTCGTATTTCAAATTGAAGTATACTTACTATACATACATTACGTATATATTTCGATTTGCATTTGTTTTCTCAAAAACTGAATTACTATTTAGCTAATATTAAATAACACCACCAAGAGTGCATACCTGCGATATTTCACGATTCGTTACTCTTTTGCATTGATTCACCAGCATTAGATATGGATTGTTACTTTCAACATAAATTAAAATATTTCGTTTCTCTTTCAGTCAGATCATTGATGTTGCGCGTAAAAGAATTGCATTACTCAGAATACTAGTCTACAAATATATATTTGGCGTACTGACTGTGTTGAACGAATTAACATCCGAGTTCAACATATCTTTTGGAAGTTGGAGAGATGTCACCGGAAATAAAGACCTCTGCGAAGCCAAGGTACAGGTTCTCTTCAGAGAACTCCATTCTTTTACTCTTCATCATTCCTACACCTTCTTCCAAATTCTATTCAAAATTACTAACCTCTCACAAAACTCGATATCCACCTTCCAACAACCACCGTCGAATTATAATTCCCCATAATTCAAAACCGCAAAGCATTAGCTGCCCGTGCTCAGTAAGGCAAAGCGCACCTTGCAAGTAAAGAATTTCTTGTCAACATTCTACAATTGGTACGCAGACATATATTATTACACTTCCGCAGGCCGCTAACGAGCGGCCTCCAATGCCCTTGTTTCATCTCGCAACATTCTCTTATCACAGCGTATCAAGACACTTGGTAGAGTTTCGAGCCAAATATATTTGAACGAGAAACTCGTAGTGTCGAAAGGTGAGCGAAACGCGCCTTGGGCGTTTGAATTTCAACGAGACGCTACCGAGTTCTTTTTTTTAATTTACCCGACTTAGATTAATAGTATGTACGTGAAGATATGGCAGATTCACATTTTACATACGCTCAGAATCGTTATAGTTTCTAATCGTCGTCGTCGTCGCCGTCGACTCTTAAATCGAAGTAAATATATATTTCGCACACAATAATAGGACACATTTTTAGACAGTCGACATTCGACACCGTTTCTTGCGGAACGAGTACGAACCATAGGTATCCCACCTATAAAAGTGATATGTGCCGCGAGCACGATATCAGCTTCGGTGCAAACCTGCGAGTCTGTTCCTCGCCGGCCTTACTAATTCTCGGTCAAACAAGTCATAGCGACGGTTTCTGAAAAACGACTTCAGGTAAGAAGCAGCAGAAACAGTACGGACGACTCCGATCGGTGCCGTCATTCGCCCTTTAGTATATCAGTAGGACCAAAATCTGTAAGAAGGATTGAATCTCAAAACGGACACTGTACAAAGGGAATAAACATCCCATTTTCGCAAACCCTCATCTTATTTTCTACCGAGTGAACGTCCTGCCATTCTGCACCCAGCCTATCTCCCGGCGAACCGGAACCTGTCCACGAGGAACCAGAAAGCAGCTCCAGCGGGGAACCCGGGCAGACGAGCGGACAACCGAGGAGCGGGTCTGGCCGATAGAAGCTGGATCGGCGCTTCGACAGCGGAGGGCGCAGGTGTAATGGCCATTCCAAGGCTGGGCGACAGTAAGTCGGTAGATGACACCCCGAGGATGCAACGCGCGGAACCCCAGTTCATTCTCTCGGGGCTCGGACCCCGCGCCTAGGAACCGGAGGGCAGCCACCCGGGACTGAGGTTCGCAGCCTCAACAAGGCTCTGACCAGCCCCGGGGACGCTCGCATCCCTCCGTAACTTCGGTCTATCCGGCGGATGCCGCGGCATCCTCGAGGAGCTCGGCATATCCGTCTCCGAGCTGGGGAAGCACGCCGGACCTGTCGAAACGTCGTACACCTTAGTGACTTCCTCACCGCAGCAGCATGTAGCGGCCCCCCTTCGGAGTCCACCCTGACAATCCCGGCCGAGGGCGGGGACTCCACCACAGCCACCTTACGGAACCAGTCACCAGAACGGACCAACCCTGAGGCGTGTCTGCAAACAACAGTATCACCGTCCCTGACTCCGGATAGCGTGTGGCGGCAGGACCAGCTGTTCACCTGAGTTCCCAAGGTAGCAATCAACCCGCCGGCCTACAGACGGTGCCAACAGCTAATCGAGAACCTCCAGGACTAGAAAGAATAAGCAGCAGGCCTTTTCCGCAGGTGCGCCCGAGACCGAGTACTCTTGACAAGTCGCGAGACGTCCTCTTCATTTGCCCGCCACGTCGATAAAAGGATTGGATTTTTGTAGAAAAACGGTTTCTTGATGTTTTTGAAATTGCTGAAGTCAGGTTTAACATTAGATTTTATTCACGCATTCCATATGCTCGCACACATATTTCGCGCCATTTCCCGAGCGCCCTATCGCGCCGACTCCCTAGCGCTCTCTGCGCGAGTTGATATGGGGCGTTTCCACCTTCAGTCTTCTTCTAGATCTCTTCAATCGTGTCATTGAACGAAAGTGGTGCGATCCTTCCCCATCTGAAAGTTTGCGAGGTTTCTTGTCGTACCTTGTGTGCGGGATTTCGAGTATTGTGCCCATCCGGGTGTGACGTAGTTTTTTAATTTTCTTCGAAAACCCTAAATGGAAGGGACCATCAATATCCGATGGGAGGGGGTCATCAGCGAGCCCCCTCCATAACAGACAACTATTACCTGTGGTAGTGAGAGAAATGACGCTCTACACCACCAACCTTAGGTTCGCAGCGGGTACGAAGGGAAATCTTGTCCACCCATTGGTGGACATCCGGGTGTAATGTAGTTTTTTAATTTTCTTCGAAAACCCTAAATGGAAGGGACCATCAATATCCGATGGGAGGGGGTCATCAGCGAGCCCCCTCCATAACAGACAACTATTACCTGTGGTAGTGAGAGAAATGACGCTCTACACCACCAACCTTAGGTGCGCAGCGGGTACGAAGGGAAATCTTTTCCACCCATTGGTGGACAACACACGACCGCACTCAAGGTACCAGGTGGACTGGATGGTCATGACCCGTCCCAGTTAAAGGCTCTGCCGAGCTCAATGTACAGAAACTAAATGTATGCAACACGATCTGTGTCTTACAATCCTTACTCTAGGCACATCACTCAGGTTCGTCCCATTTGTACGTACGATACTCACTGCACTCAACAAAACTCAGAAACTAACTAAACTTGTTTTTGGGGTTCCTTATCAAAACGCAGGTCATGTTCCAAAAAGGGGGGGGGGGGTGATCCTTCAATTGGGCTCCCTCCGAAGGGTCCCTGGGTAATTACCAACATGAATTGTCTCCGTCACACACGCTTTTGTAAACTTAAATTGGATATGTTGCCAAACGTTATAGTATATTTTGCCCCATGTATGCGTATGCACACATCTATTCCAAAAGTTATATTTTCTCTTAAGATCATGTATCTGAATAAATGTACACAATCTTCTATTTCATGTAACCAAATTAAAAACTAAATTTAACGAGATAAAGAAAAAATTAGATGTGCATGTATAGTGTGGGGCAAAATGTACTATAACTTTTGATAACACATTTGATTTAAATTTTTCTAAAGAATTAAAGTACTGAATTTGGCAAAAATAGTTCATTTCTACTTCTTATAAAGAAAAAGCGATATATGCTATTTTTATATTTGAGAAGGGAAACATGAATACATCTAGAGAAGTTATTTTATTCCTAAGGTGTTTTTTTTTATTAGATTTTTTAATTTAGAAAAGTCATTCATGAACCCGCGCGGACATATTTTTTGTATTGAATAAATAATAACTGACCTCAGTCGTTTTGCAAATATATATGTATTCGTCTAAAATTATTGTATGCTACTTGTTTTTTACTTTTACTGATAAAGGAATTTTTGTCTGAGTACTATACGTTCCACACATTATCAGACACCATTACATCTCAATCATATGCAATTCTGTATAACTGCATATGGTAAAGCACATAGTTGTATACAATTACATATAATTGTATACAATTATTTTTCTTGGATATACAGTTTTAATTTGGCGTTCGGTACACTGCACGTCTGGTGTCCGTAACAATAAAGTGATGTACAGGTAACCCTCCTATAACACGGTAGTTAGGTTCCTAGAAAATGCCGTGTTGTGTGAAACCGTGTTGCATGAGACCCAGAGCTAGTATAAAAAGGGGGGTTACATTCCAAAAACTTATTAAAAACAAATATTTTTTTAATTCGACATAAACAACTTAATTTTTATTAAAAATATAAAAGTATATACAACACAAAGTATAAAAAAAATATTTTAATCTAACGCAACCATAATTTAATGAATTTATTCGTCGTCACTGCTCAGTATAATCAACCGAGCACGTTTTTTCGGTGGAACGATATCGCCTTCACTTTCAGAACTTTTTTCTCTATTTAAAGTTTTTGTATGTTTTCCCCTCTTAAAAAAATCTGTAATCGAACTTTGCTTGCTGGTTCTTACTAGGTCATTGTAAATTTCGCGGTATGGAGATAAACAGTTTTGCAGCTCCCTTTTGAATTTTCGACTTCGTTCCGTGGAAGGGTCTGTATTCAAGAAAAATGACTCGAGATTTTCCGCTAAGCATAGGCCTTCTTGTATTTTTTTTCGTATCTTTAGGACAGCAAGCCTCGCCGCGGCTGTAGAACTACAATACAGTGTTGTATGGACAAACGATTTGCAGTTTTCTCATCACGTTATAGCGAAACCGTGTTATAGGATGCCGTGTTGTAGGAGGGTTCCCGCAATTTACGAATCGTGTTATAGCGAAACCGTGTTATAGGAGGGTTACCTGTATTCAGTTTTACCGCCCTGACGAATTTTTGATAAAAGTTGCACTTGATCTCGCTGTAAACATTATAACAACAGGAAGAAACACTTGTACGGAACATTAACTTTACCTTATTCCTTGTGATGTATTCCACAAAGAAGGGCACCAGAAGGCCGGCAATGGTACCGATACCGTTTGACATTCCCATTAAGATGCTGGCATATCTGGGCGCAATGTCAAGATGATTAACGTTGAAACCGGAAATTGCGAAACCACTGCAAGCCACACCAATCGCCAGAGCCAGTGTACCCGCTGTACCGTTCCTGTGAGTGGTAGCATTAGCCAAAACCAGGAAGAATATCGCCTCCATGCCAAAGCCACCACAGTTGAAGACCTTCCTGACATTTGTCGTGGACATGATACCTCGTTTCCTAAGATGATCCGCCAGAAGGCCACCGCATGGAACGATAATGGTCATGAGCAAATGTGGAAGTGAACCTATTACTCCAGTCTGAAAATTCAAATCGACTCGTATCATATGGGCATAATGGTTCGTTAACGATACTTTGAACTTATGATTACAGTTCAAGATGATGCAACATTTTCTTCTAAATTTACATTGCTTACTTATTTACATCGGTACACGTACATGAAGGAAAAACTCTCACAAGAAATGAAACTTTAAAGGTAGTAATGCACGACTTTATACGTGTTAATTCATTTGCTGAACTTTCTTGGTATCAGAATATAATGAAGGTTAGGTGTTAGGAAAGGCTGGATGCGGTATAATATTTTGAAAACAAAATATTTTTGAGAAAAAAGTTTCAGGCCAAAGTTTCCCGCTTGACCTTGAGTGGAGGGGTCAAGGTGACTTTAAGATCAACGTGATTTTTTTTAATGAAATACCCCATTTCTTATCAGGCAGTGTTCGAGTTAATGGTGACCCACTGAACAACAAACATAACAGTTATGTAACTTAAAACTAAGAAATAACATAACGTTTGTTACAATGTAATAACCTAACAGTTATGTATCATGGAGCTAACAGGTTTCATAACATTTGGTATCATATCTTTATAAATGTAGCATAACTTTCTTACTCTCATCTTACATTATGTTACTGTTCTGATATTACTGTGTATATGCAGCACATATTTGTAACAAAACGGAACTGCATGGGTGCTAACTGTCATTTATTTTATTACATCATCGTCATTGTCATAATTCATCGTAAAATGTCACAAGATTAATATATGTCATATTTTGTTTACTACTCGTATGAAAAAATGTGACTTTTAATTCATACGCGCATATACATTATAAGTAATTGTCTTAGTTCCAAAAATCTATATGCGCTATACCTATTTTGACGGATGTGAGTCAAATTGACTCATTAAATATTTTTAAAGTTGCTCGTTTTACCCACATGTAACTTATTTCTTGTCCATAGAAATTTTTTGTAAACAATCAGATTCGATAGTTTTCATGTTCAAACTTGTCAATTTACTAGTTAGATATCTATTGCAAGCTTGAACTTTCAATATTGTGAAATTATTTGTTGCGTCTTTTTGTTGAAGGCTTTTATGAAAGCTCTGACAAAAAATTCTTCGTGTTCTTCCATTTCGATTTCTGGATTATTATCGGAGAGAAGAATGAATTTTTGGTAACACTAAAAAAAATAAATTTTATAAATTATTTTTGAAGAATTTTTGCGTACCAAATTTCAGAATTTATTTACAGATGTATTTACGTATATGCAAATAAATATTTTAGTTCTAGATAAGGGTTGCTATTATGACAAAAACTGTAAGAGATCTTGAATAGCGAAAAAAACTGACCCAAATAAGAGGAAACCAATCAGATATCGAATTCGATGCATCTGATACTAAACTATATGAAGTAGAGAATCAAGCTAAAAGGATTGAATTTTCGAGCAGGGAAGATGAAGATCTTCATCATACAGCTCCTAGAAAAAGAACAGCTTGTTTTCTATCTGAAAGTGAATCAAGTGCTAGTGAAAGTGATCGTTATATAACTCTTGGCAAAAAAAGAGTACGATATATTCCCGATTTTGAAACCGATAGTGAATTAAACCCTGCAGATAGATCCGATAATGAAGAAATTTCAACGCAAAGTGCTGCTGATGGGACATTATGGGAAACATTGAACGATTATAAAAATACTGGTAGATTTCCCGGTCATACCAAATTCAAAGACGTCTCAGGGCCAACTTCCTACTCCAAAAGAAATATTATACTTGGTACTGTACAGAGTGCTTCCAGAATATATATGTAACAATTGTTTTGAATAAAGTTTCATTAAAATAAAATTGTATTTTTTTGTTTAACTCAATTTTAATGTTTGAGTCAGATTGATTCATTTCAGGCAAAATAGGTATACACCCAACATCTGGCAATCTAGTGTTAAACTGCGATTACTTCGAGTTGTGGAACCGGGACTAAACCCGACAGATGGCACCGTTGGTCGATTATAGTATCAAAAAGCACGAATCCAAGGGGTTTCTTCGGTTTAACTTCGATCTCTTTATAATCGTTCTAGTGAAATGACGTATGGATGGGTCTACTACAGATAGATCCGATAATGAAGAAATTTCAGCACAAAGGTCTGCTGATGGGACATTATGGGAAACATTAAAAGATGGTAAAAATACTGGTAGATTTCCCGGTCATACCAAATTCAAAAACGACTCAGGGCCAACTTCCTACTCCAAAAGAAATATTATACTTGGTACTGTAAAGAGTGCTTCCAGAATATATATGTAACAATTGTATTGAATAAAGTTTCATTAAAATAAATTTTTTTTTTGTTTAACTCAATTTTGATGTTCGAGTCAAATTGACTCATTTCAAGCAAAATAGGTATACACCCAACATCCGGCAATCTAGTGTTAAGAAACGATTTTTTCTCATTTCTCCTAACTCTTTCGGTAAAATATTGAGTAAACGTATCGATATGTTTAGAATATACAGATTTTTAATTAGAATGCTTACCTCAACCATCGGCATGTCAAAAGACTCGTGCATAAAACGAGCTTGGAAGAGCACTAAAAGATAGAAGTTCCAAGATCTGCAGAAATTTGCTACGATAATGGCATAGACCGGCATAGACGTAAGGAACTTTTTCCAAGGTGTGTTGGCGAATGTCGGCACGAATACTTGAGTTTGACCTTGCCCAAGAGAATCCTCGATATATCGTAACTCGCGAGCTGATATGCAAGGATGTCTGGATGGTTTTTCAAAGGCCAACCAGAGCCAAAAGCAATACCAAATTAACCCACAAACACCTGAAATAAGAAAAAGATGACAGTAAAAATCATGGGAACACAATCGATCCATCCACTCTTTTCTATTAATCACTAGTCAAATTTCAAAGTGTATTATTGTATCCACGAAGCTAGAACTAGGTTCCAGATCTCGGCTGCAGATGCAGCCCGTCCTATTTTTCTATACTAGTTACACTTCTTTTACTATGTTACAGTCAAACACCGAAATCTGAAGAATGTCGACTTTCACCGGTGAATGTCAACATTCACATAGTCGCTTCGTGTATGTCCGAAATATTTGCTAAATACCCTTATTTCTGAGTTACACCGGTAAATGTTGACATTCACCGGTGTGTGATGTTGACACACACTGGAGAGGGTGCGAATGTACAACAATGTAAAGAAATATTCGATCTTTCACCGACGTATTTGGTATCTGTTGACATTCACCGGTGAAAGTCGGCATTCTCCGATTTCGGTCATTCACGGTAACAACTATACTACATATAACTTCAGTTTATATACTTGATTTTCTGATTCCGAGATCTCGGACTGAGTTTATAGTATCGTGGGCACAACTTCAAAGGCTCGTGTCCATGAACAAATAAAATTTCCGAAAGCTGCTTTCAAACAGTTCTTGCCGATAGTGTACACGGTTTTGGAAGTAAACTTGTGCAAGAACTTACACATTACGGCAAACGTTTCAAGTTCAAAAAACGAGTGGCCATACACTCGAAAATCAAATAAAACGATTTTCTTCTTTGAGGACTGATTGCCTTTGGTTTCATATAATAAACAGTAATGTCATTCAGAAGCAAATCACGGTCAGTTTTTAAATTCCGACAATTTTTCCGTGATTTTCAACTGTTTCCAGTGATTTTCGCATGCGATTTCGAGCTAATTTGCACGTGATTTCGAGCATTAACCCTTTCGTTACCTTGGACGAGATATCTCGCGACCCAGTACTGGCCGATTAACCCTTTCGTTACCTTGGACGAGATATCTCGCGACCCAATACTGGCCGATCAACGCTTCTGACGAGATATCTCGCGATCCGGTAGTAGCTGTATTTATTTCTTCCTTTTAGCTATACGAATAGAATTAGTTATAAAAAAAAATCATCTAGAATGTCAAAATATTGATGCTAGAAAGCTAGAGTCTCGTCAAAAGCGTTAATCCGCTACTACCGGATCGCGGGATATCTCGTCAAAAGCGTTGATCGGCCAGTATCGGGTCGCGAGATATCTCGTCAAAAGCGTTAATCGGCCAGTATTGAGTCGCGAGATATCTCGTCCAAGGTAACGAAAGGGTTAACCCATAATTTCCTCAGTGAATAACCTCTTGTCGAAAATGCAGCTCATGTTCTATAACGAGACGATTCGGGAGCGGTTGCGCGGTACCGAAATCGACGGCAATCGACGCGTGCGCGATAAGGGAATAATTAGGCGGCGCAAAGAGGCCATGAGACTCCTTGAGACCACGAGTCAAAATCAAAATGGCAGAAGGAAGTTCATCTATTTTAACAGGGCGATTCGGGAGCGCTTGCGCAACACTGAAATCGACGGCAATCGACGCGTGCGCGATAAAGGAATAATTAGGCCGCGCGAAGAGGCCAAAGAGTAGGGAGAGGCCATGAGATTCCTGGAAACCACGAGTCGAAATAAAAAAAGCAGAAGAAAGTTCATCTATTGTAACGAGGCGATTCGGGAGCGCTTGCGCCGTACCGAAATCGACGGCCATCGACGCGTGTGCGAAAAGGGAATAATTAGGCCGCGCGAAGAGGCTAAAGAGTAGGGAGAGGCCATGAGATTCCGGGAGACCCTGAGTCAAAATCAAAATGGCAAAAGCAAGTTCATCTATTGTAATGGGGCAATTTGGGAGCGCTTGCGCGACACTGACATCAACGGCAATCGACGCGTGCGCGATAAGGGAATAATTAGGCCGCGCGAAGAGGCCAAAGAGAGGGAGAGGCCATGAGATTCCTGGAGACCCCGAGTCAAAATCAAAATGGTAGAAGAAAGTTCATCTATTGTAACGGGGCGATTCGGGAGCGCTTGCGCGACACTGAAATTGACGGCAATCGACGCGTGCGCGATAAGGGAATAATTAGGCCGCGCGAAGAGGCTAAAGAGTAGGGAGAGGCCATGAGATTCCTGGAGAACCCGAGTCAAAATCAAAATGGTTGGAGCAAGTTCATCTATTTTAACGGGGCGATTCGGGAGCGCTTGCGCGACACTGAAATCGACGGCAATCGACGCGTGCGCGATAAGGGAATAATTAGGCCGCGCGAAGAGGCCACAGAGTAGGGAGAGGCCATGAGATTCCTGGAGACCCCAAGTCAAGATCCAAAAGGTAGAAGCAAGTATATCCTCAATTGGAACAGTCGCTCAAAGTAGAGATCGACATAATAGATTCGAGTCCATCGTCGAACGAATTAGCAAAGAAAAGGTTCTTAGAAGTTAGAATTTCGACAGTATATCGGAAGAGATAGAGATAAGACCGAAGTAATCCGGAATCCAAGATTAATTGATGGAATAAACTTTGCAGGTAGGCAATGAATTCTAACTAAATCCCAAATAACTGCGGTCTCTGCCATCGTGGTAGCCTTCGCACTCCCAATTCTAATCCTTTTGAACCCTATCCTGGGACTGTCCTGCTGCAGCATCTCCCAAAATCAAAGATTAGAACGCGTAAAAGATAAGAAAAAGAAAAAAAAAGAAAAGAGCCGTACCTTCAATTGACGGAAGTCAATCGAAGCAGGTTCACCCAAAAAGAATACTAAGGACGTGTAGATCCGTACCTTCGGCCTTGTCAGTATGACAACCCTAAAGCAGGAGCCAACACGGTCTTCAATTGTGGAAGATGCTCGGACTCTATCACTATGATTGTCTCCGATATGCCGAGCTTGCACAGTTGGAAAGGATAAGAATCGTGGCACGAATAAGTGCACAAGAACCTTATCACAAAACATCCTACCGAACCTGAAAATCCTTTGCCAGCGGATATCCGAAGCTGGATAACCTAAATTAAGTTGAAACTAACAACTGTAGAACAGTGCTCTAGGAATCACATAAGATAATCCAAGTAATTTAGAAAATCGTATCATGAATACAAAATTACGGGAATAACTGGGTTCCGAAATACTAGGGACAGTCAACCCATTCTCACCCACATCTTGACTTCTTTTTATCCAGATTCGATGATGAACATTTGGCGTACTTTTGTGAGATGAATCGTCAGTCTGAGAGTTCACTTCCTATCCAAAATTAAGTCCATCTCGGAACAGCGAAAACGATTAAACAATTAACAATCGAAGTTAGTTTGGAATCTCGGCGCGTTAGAGATATCGAAACAGGAATTCGACTCAGGATTTCGGCCTCAATCAGCTGAGCGACCGAAACCGAAACGCGCAAAAGATCGAAACATTGCGCGGCACGATACATCGCGATCCTTCTCTAATTCGCGCTTGCCTCTCATTTACTCGCGTCTTCGCATCTAGAAACCGGCGATTTAAGGTGAAGTGAAACACCCTTCAAATCGGTCGATACGAAAACAACACTTTTTTTTAAAGGTATTACACCAAACTGTCCGAAACTTTAACACATCACTCCTCATCATCTAAGAATTGTCCCAACGCATTTCAAAATTTGGATTTTTCAAAAAAAGTTTTTAACTCAGCCCAGACCAGAACCAAAATGACGTCGAGCTCTCATATTTTGATCAATATACAAGAATCGAAAGCTCTAATATGAGAATCGAAAGGGTCAGGACAATATTACGACAACTCAGAGCACTCTGGTAATAGATAAACTCGCATTTCAACGGGATAAAGGCAAAAAAAGTGTTGTATGCGCTTCTATACCAAAATGATGGTAATACGAGGTCTCGGAGTGAAAATTTAATTGACCTGGAAATCACAGATGGCGCAGGGGGTCCCTCTGCAGTCAATTAGGGCCCCAGAAAGCACGAATCCAGAAGATTTCTGGAGTTTTACTTCGATTTCTTGATATTTATTGTACGAAAACGAAAGGTGGAGTATGCCATTTGGTACAATACCCAATATAATTCGACCCAGCTGTCGGATATAAAAACGAACGTCGGCAACGTAGGCATTTAGAAAAATCTTCTTTATCGTCGTCGATCAAGTTCCTCGACGTGTTTCACTTCACCTTAATATTCCCGGAAAATTCTTACGCGGCTCGGACACACGACGGTGTGGAAAATACGGTGCATCTTGCACGGCCTAAACCGTACCATTACAGTACACGCTTACTTCTGAAAGTTGAAATTGCGCAGGTCGATTCCGAATCGACCTTGAAATTATTGATGCAAGTTTCGTACAGTTTCGTATGTTTTTCCCAATAGGATCTGATAATAAAATTCAAAATGATGGGTCAGTTCAAACTTCATGTCGCCGATCCGGATCATATTAAGGTGAAGTGAAACACGTCGAGGAACTTGATCGACGTCGATAAAGAAGATTTTTCTAAATGCTTACATTGCCGACGTTCGTTTTTATATTGACAGCTGTGTCGAATAATATTGGGTATTGTACCAAATGGCATACTCCACCTGTCGTTTTCGTACAATAAATATATAGAAATCGAAGTAAAACTCCAGAAATACTCTGGATTCATGCTTTCTGTGACTACAGAGGGTCACCCTGCGCCATCTGTGGTTTCCAGGTCAATTAAATTTTCACTCCGAGACCTCGTATTACCATCATTTTGGCATAGAAGCACATACAACACTTTTTTTGACTTTATCCCGTTCAAATGCGAGTTTATCGATTACCAGAGTGTTCTAAATTGTCGTAAAATTGTCCTGACCCTTTCGATTCTCATATCAGAGCCTTCGATAATTGTATATTGATCGAAATATGAGTGCTCGACGCCATTTTCGTTCTGGTCTGGACTGAGTTAAACAATTTTTTTGAAAAATCCAACTGTTGAATGTGTCAGGACAACTCTTAGATGATCAGGAGTGATGTGTCAAAGTTTCGGACAGTTTGGTCTAATACCCTTAAAACAAAGTGTTGTATTCGAATCGACTGATTTGAAGGGGATTTCACTTCACCTTAAATACAGCGACATCAGTACCAAGCATTTCATTATATAGTAGCACCTACCGTCTCGTTGTATATTTTTAATACTGAATATTTCACTCCCAAGTAAAATTGCAGAAAATTTCAGATTACAGTCTAGAACCTGAAGCTAGTTACTTTAGCAAGCCGTTCTGCAAGTACTTGCTAGAGTAACTTGGGGCTTGAAAATTGCTATAAATTTCTTGATAGCGTATACTCAAATACAATCTACTCTAGTAAAAAATTTCGCAAGTTACTTGATCATTGACACGAACTTTTATTAGACTTATTAAGAAAAAGAGTCCACAATTTTCTGTAACTATTTTAACACAACATATATTACATACTGAGACAATAGACCGAATCATAATAGGTTCTAAAAATATTATTATTTATTGGAGTTAGCCGGATGAAACGTTACTAAATTAATGATGTTACTCCAAATAATATAACAAATCGTTGAAAAAATATGAAGCTTGTTACCGAAATTTAAATTGACAGGAACAAACAACTGTACACTGTTTGTTTTTAACATAACTTATGCCACAATTCCGGTTTCCTTTAACTTCGTTTTGTCTAGTTTCAAGAGCACAATAAAACTTTGAATAAGGGTTAGTTGCATTCGGTATGCTCTGAATAACACGGGAAAGTGATATTTCAAATATTATTTGCATTACATAGTATCGGATGTTAAAAATCAACATTACCGTAAAAGTAGAAAGACGCCGTCCATCCAAACCAATTACTGAGGCATGCAGAAAGTGGCATTCCTATGACCACTGCAGCATAAGAACCACAGAAGGCCAAGGTTGCTAATCTTGACCTCTCCAATGGTGGAGCCCAATATTTCCAAATACCGTGACACGCTGGATATGTGACACCCTGGTAACCAAATTATCATTCACAATGAAGCCTTGTTTATTTATTCATATCTAGATACTTCATAAGTACGGTTACATACAACTCAACGACCCTGTTCAACCGTGGAAGACTATAAATTAAATAAATAAGAAAGAAAGACGACTGATACAAAACACAGAGAATCTAATAATATTTATTCATCTAGAACATAGTAATTTTGAAGTATCTATTTAGCTTGTGATTTTCTTTAATCGGTTCATTGGACTATCAACAAATTTGAAACACCACCTCGTTAAGTTCAGTCATACGTAAGCTTAAATTCCAATTCGCACAAGAATTTAGTTACCAAACTTTTAAAGAAATTAAAGTCCGAAGTATCAAGTAATATTTCAATAGAATGAAAAGCCAAACTCAGTTTCGCAAGATATTAAATTTGTTATTAATATTTGCTTCTGACAATATCCGTTTAGATTCCTTCCAGTATGGACTACTTGTGCAATGTATCAGCAATTACCATACAACACGAACATTGTACGCGAGGTATGCGGAACACATAGATAGTCGTAAAAGTTTCATGCTAAGAAATTTTGATAGAGGAGGTCTTTAAAATTCTCTTTTAGGTTCATCTCAGTACATAATTACTATTGTCAAAATAATCCACATTTATTCAATAGTTCCAAGTAGTAATAGTGGCACTACGAATAGACACAAATAACATCAGAGTTGCTGACGTCAGCCGACGTCACATTGGTGTGTCATTCGATATCATGAGGCACCGTTGCGAACGCGACGGCCGATCTTTACGCCCCATCGCGTGTACCGCAATCACTCTCTTTCTCTCTCTTTCTTTCTTTTTCGTCGGTCTCTTTCACACGAATGTGAAGACCATGCCCCCCCCCCCCTGATCGAGTGCATCGCGACACGGTGACCATATCTTACCCCATCAACAGTCAGATGCAAGCTGTGTGGATTAATTTGATTTGAATTTCTAGCAACTGTCTGCAAGTGCAAGTGCATATCCATTTTAGGACTAGACGTCTATTTTAAAACTATTTCCTCCGTGCAACGCGTTTCGGTTTACTCCGGGTACCAGTAGATATTTCTTTTATGTTATGATACGGCTTATCACAGTGTGATCACGCACCGCGAAAGGAAAGTGTGTAAACCTGTGTCCAGGACACGCCGACTCGTCGGGAATTATAACTCGTTATTTTTCGATTTCAAAGAAAATTCAGTAAAGAGTCATACAACCGTTCCGCTTGTAATTGGTTGACCGTCTGTGACCCGCTCCACCAAATCATCGAAAAGAAGGCACGTGCATTTATAACGTCGTAACCGCAACGGTGGCGATGGTGCATCAACACCTTGTCCGTCGTGCATATCAGTGGTGGTAAAGACGCATACTTGCACGCTGCATAAGTGTAGTCCGTACCCGCAAAACGCGCTTGTCCTTGACACAAGTGTATCATCCCTCGGGCGCAAAGACGCGCGCACTTTCGCGTTTACCCACGATACAAGCGTATGCCGCAGCCGCGCGCGAGGGGTCCCTTTGCCGCAATGAGCCTCACGCATGTATAATGTTATGCCTTGGGGTGATATTCTTGTTTCGAAAATTATAACAATTTCGTAGCACTCACTTTCATTATTTAATTCGTGAAGTACCTTCAGTTCGGAGGGACAAATGACGACTGACTGTCCTCGGGAGCCGACAGAGTCGTGTCACAGTGAAACAGAGATGTTCTTAGGAAGCGATATGATTCTGCTGACCAGGGAACTACCGCTGTGAAGCGCTGTCCGGCAGAGTTCCCAGGGTCCGGCAAATGGCAGAAGATCAAAAGAATATTATAATATTAGGGCATAACAATAAACACGACGCGGACCGAAGTGTACAGGCCGCTTCGCCTCCTCCCTGACCGACTTGCCTGAATTATAGGGAACCCCCGCGAATAGATAACCGTAGCCATTCATTTATACATTATTCATAGTAATCACTAATTCATCACGTACCATTTACATTGTACATATTTTCCAAAAGATTGTAAGACGATTTACCGCCTCATATTCAATACTCCGCTTGCATTTAGTCAAGCGCAGGGCTTCCATTCGCTTTCAGAAGGCACACGGCAGCCCTGTGACCTCACGTGTACCGAAATCGGAGGAATAATAAACTGAGACCTTTTAATTTGCACACCGCATAATCACTCCACCCAGGCCTTACCCTCGGTACAATTTAAACGCTCTGAGCGGGCTATTGTCACGGGAGGAAACCCAAACATAGACCGCGGCACGCGAGACTGCCACCTAACCTACGCGCCTCGTGTCTATCGTTACAGACTTAATACCCATACCTATTTAAAACCTTCACAGCAGTTGTCGTCGAGGCTCGTTATGGATACGCGCTGGAAGCATCCGTGGACGGCTATGATATGTGGTCTGATGAGCTGTGGTAAAATACCTTCTGTGAAGGCATTCTTTCGTGATGTGAATGACATGATAACGAACGCATCACCCGAACGTATTCTTTTCTACTATGTCGAAGGGCAAGAGAGTTATCGCGAGTACGGTGAGAATGGGAAACTTCGCGAAGGTTTTCCGCGTGCGAGCGACTATGCCGTCGATTTTCCCTCGAAACTCATGGTTATCGATTATCTGATGTGCGAGGCTTTGAATAACGCAGTAATGGATCTCTTTACGACAGGTGCTCACCACGACAATCGCAGCGTAATTTTCATCACGCAGAATCTATTTCATCAGGGCCAGGGACGACACGACATCTCATTGAACGCCAACCACATCGTGGTATTCGAAAACCCGGAACATCGTGCGCAGATACGTCATCTGGCGCGACAAGTATGCCCGGAGAATCCGCGATTTCTGCAGGAGGCTTATTTTATATTCAATATCTGCCATTTATTGAGACTTTCCTTAGGTCCTCACTTCCCGCAAATCCTACCAGAGGATTTGATTGAGCCGTTCGGGTCATTTCCGCACTTAAATAATAAATCCGTTACGCGGGCATTCGAGGCAAAATTACCATAAATTTCACCCGAATTTTCCCGGCCTCGCTACCGCTCAGCCGTCACGTAACAAAACATTGCCATCAACCACTTAACACTTCGAACCCACTGTGATACTATATGATGTGACGTGGTGAATTCTTCGCCCATCACGAGGGGGTTTCGTTGCCGAAGCGAGGAGTCACTCTGGCAATCACTAGATATAAAATGTTTTCATTATTATAAAATTTGTACAAATTTTGCGGTAGGCGTTAGCTCTGCGGGAGAACGGCGCGCCAACTCCGGTTTTCAGACTCGCGGTAAGCACGCGAAGCCCCGAATTTGAGGCTCTGTTGCCATCGGCCGGCAGTCGCCTTAATTAGGCCGCCTTGTAACAGAATCAAACTAGGCGAGGTAGCAGGGCGGAATGCCGGAATTAGGTTCCGCTGAGGCCACCAGGAGGAAGAGGGCGCTGGAAACGAAGATCTTCCAGTGGAACGGATATTATCAGAGGAACCACCGCTGATGCTTCTCTCGTCCCGTATCGCCCCGATCAGCAGTAACGCCGTCTCGTTTCACTGAATGTTCTCTGACGCATCCCGGGAGGCACCATACCGTCAACGAGTTCCCGAAAGGCACCGTCCCGATGCAGCTTCCCGAAGAGCGCCGTACCATTCCCGTCAGGAGCCCTACCGCCCAAAGCCTTAGCGGAGCAACGCCGGTGAGCCCGAACCTGGTCAGGGAGCCTCAGTAAACCGCCATCTTTCCTTCCGTATTGCGCCGTGGTTCAAATTCTTATTTCGGATTTCTAACTGCCGGTATTTCGTGCGCTTCCGATGGCCCGCTGCCTTTCATGATCATTCCCGAGCACCGCACTGTTCTACGATTGAGTCCTGTAGACTGCGTGTTCGCCAATGCCGGCCGCGGTCATTTTTCCGCACCCGTGGGGCGACTCCCGTATGTATTTCCCTGTGAAGCTATGCGACGAGATGCATACCGATTTCTAGCCGATAGTTTCAGCGAGAAGAGACCGTCGGCCGTTCTCGAGTATCGTGCCCCTTATCGTGGATTTTTGGATTATATCTTATAGCGTAAAGAAAGGGCGAAAGGGTTGGAGCGGCCACGGATAGCAGCCAAGACTCTGTCCCGTTCTTTCTGATAATCGCGGGAAAGCTGATGTTAGATGCGGAACAAGGAAGGGATCGCGGCGCGGAAAAAGTACCTGTGGCTATTTTATTCTAACGCACGTGAGAACAGCTTCCCGCTGTCCTTTCTCAATTCTAGCGAACTTATTCTAGAAGACACCAGTCTAGAAAAATGTCACGTAGTCGAGTCCTCCTCTTACGAAAAGTTATGAGACAGTTTCTAGAACAGAGAATTGTAAGAAAGAAAGAGGGAAAGGGCAGGTGCGCGTAAAGTGGTAGAGAGATAAGTTCAGGCTATTGAAAGGGAAAAGGAAAGTATGGGTTTCGATGGTGACCATGTATGGGGTTACAGCGGGCCGCTGGTCTGGCGACATAGCGACGGCCGTCTGGGGGTTAAAAAGGGTCTGGCGCCCGGCTCTTTTCTAGAACATTTGGTTTTGGGGAGAGAATATTTGGAATATCATTTTAATAATTCTAGCCTCTCGGGCTTACTCACGACAACTTGTCAATGGAAACAAGAAATGCCGGATAATACAGGAGCAAAATTAGCCAACAATAGCACATGACACTTGGTCATTTAGTATCACGCAGCTCATCGCTACTGACACCCCTTCCGAATGTTGTACCATCGCCACCACAACTACCGAGGGTAGAAGGGGATTTCCAGCAGTGGGAGATATTACCCGGCATTTGGATGGTATTTGAATGGACCCATCCAGAAACGGTGGTCATCGATAGTTTAAGGCGCCACTTATCCAGAGATAATCATCCAGAGGCGTGGTGCGAATATTTTCATTTCACCCTACAGGATGGCTCGTCATTGGTGGTCTTCCACGACGTGCCAGAGTAAGTATACATAAATACAGAAACATTTTTCTTTGTTCTAATTCGTTCAATTGTCTCTTTCCTTTGTTTTTTAAGGAGCAGTAGAATCCTTCAATGCTGGAATACCCTTCTACCCGTGATGGACATGATAGCTGTGGTGTAGCATTCGGCAGAACTGTTAGCGGCGTAATTCCAGTTGTAGCTGGGGGTTTCGATACTGAGACGTCAAAGAGGTCATTCATCCAACTGCACGGTACATGTGTTTAATAAATAAAATAAATCATCTTTTATCCCACGTATTTTAATCCCTATCTAAGCGTCGGTAGTTTGTAGAGGTGGGTTGGGGATCGCGATGCACGTTGGGAAAGACTATAGCATGACATGGTCTTCGGACTAACGTGAAAGACAGCGGCTGGAAAGGAAGAGAAAGCCGTAACATCGCGTTCGATGGGGGTAAGGATCCGACATCACGTTTACAGTGATACATTGGTAACGTAGCATAACACACCGATGTGATGTCAGCGGACGTCATTTGTTGTGCCTATCCATAGTGCCACCATTGCTACTGTATTAATACCTGAATGTATACAGTTTTTTACGTAACGTTACCCACAATGACGCGAAATCGGCATTCTTCCGTTTTGTACGAGTTAATTAAATAGAAAATTTGAGATAAGGCTTACAAAACTTACCTCTACAAGACCCTTCATGATCTGCACAACCATGTCAATAATGGGATCAACTTTAAGGGCGCCGGGCACTAATAAGTTCAAAAAAGAAGACACTGCAATTGCAGCTCCAAAAATTTTGTTCGCGGGGTATAAAGAGGCTAAAAATCCTCCTGGAACTTGTGTGATAAGGTAGCCCCAAAAGAAGGATGAGTCCAGCGCACTTTCCATTCCAGTTGTCCAATTGAACTTCGCCGTCCCACCGTCCTCGGTTTCGTTCTTCATGATGAGCTTTGCCATGCCCATGTTGCACCTCATGCCGAATGAGATGACAAATCCTGAAATTCACCTTCCAAACAATATGAACGGTACAAGAAAGAAGGTAAAAAAGTGGGAAAAAAGAATAACAAAATAGTCCACAGATAGAGAAATAACTTCAGAACGTTCTCCGTAACTCTATTGAGTTATTACTGTTCAATACTTCATTATTGACTAGATCACGTTACTTTATATCATTAAAGACAGACAGATATAGGATCCAAATAAGAATGTATATAAGGCAATTGATATGCCTACCCACACGGAACAAAATCTCTAATATACGTATATAGCATGTTTTCATAACTATAGAATGTATCAGTGTATCCGGATTTAAAAATATATGTATAGTACATATTCACGGAATGAATAAAGTATTCTATTGGATTTTAGATGTACATTACATGTAACATAGACGTTACGGGGGCATCCTAATTTTCACCAATTAAATACGTTTAGTAAACGTATAATGTATCATTGTTTAACAGGCATTTGTATCTGAAATATCACACATCAAAAAGACATCTAATGTGTACATATTAAGGGATAGAAAATTAATCTGCCATAGATGTATAATATACTGTGACGTGTCGGTGTGGCGGTCGTCCCGGTTTTCTAGACTGGCACACGCCGCCACGGTCGCTCGCAAGGCGGGATATTAAGCGTGAACATTCTCGTTTATCCTAACTTTATTCTGTCACTCCTTCCTCTTCCAACACTTCGTCTTACTTAGAATACTTTTGCTCGTTAACAGGTTCGGACCCGCTCTACTGGAAACGACGTATGGGCTCGGGAACTTCCAGTGTAATGTTTTTGGAGAGGGATTCTCCTTTCTCGTCACGTTACTCCCGCGTAGGCGGTACTGCCTCTGGTGTCTTTCGGGATGCACTTACTTGTGCGGCGTCAGTACCTCCCTCTAAGTGGCGCGAAATTTGTTGAGTCGCCACGGATTCGACCCTCTTTTTGGCTGGGTATTCTTCCGTAAGTGTGGCATTTCATCGGCGTTTGTCGACTGTCGCCGTGGGTTTGACTTTAATGGATTCGCATCCCTGTACAACTCGTTTCTTCTCTATAGCGCCTTGCATTGCTCCTGTGGGATTCTCAAAACCTCGAGCCGTTATTATTACTTAATGCTTGCAACAGAGCCTTCTCTCGAAGTCGTGTACCGCCAATTGTCGGACGTATCCCACTATAACTTTCATCGTGACGCCTGTTTCCTCCTTTGCCGTATTCGCATCTATTAATTCCATCATTATAGCTTCGAATTTTCGTCTATAGGCTTGCACTGTCTCGTTTAGTTTTTCTTTCCATGTATTGAAATCTATTTGTAACACGGCTATCGTTTGCTGCGTACCGTAGAGAGCAATAAATTCGTCTTTAAATTCTTAAAATTTCTTAAAAATTATTTAAATTGTCTATCCACTTATATCGACCTTTCCTGTCTTTCCTGCTATTTTCATGTTTAACACGGTCGGTAACAAGTCACTTCTGTCGGCGAATGCTACGCTTTTATAGACATACTCGTACGCTTTTATTATATCGTCTACTTCTTCGGGTTTGGTTCCGTTAAATTGCGGAACAAGCGATTTAGTCTCTTTAAGGGACATGTGGGCAGGATTTTCTCCACCGGTGGGCATGTCTAATAATTCTAACGCAGGGTTATTTAACAGTGAAAAATTAGCGATGTCAATTCCGCGATTCCTCTCGGTCTCTACCGCGTTTTCAAAATCGTAGTCGGTTATGCCTGAACTATCTGAAGAGGTAGGCGCTCCAAATGTGCGCGTCTTCTTGGCCCGTACGGGGAACATCTTTCCGTTGTCCTTATACGCTCGTAGCGGATCGATTTGTTAAAGAAGGATTTTAACGAACGCGAGAGTACTTCCTTGCCTAGCAATCGTCTAGCTAGGACGCGTTCGTCTTCGAACATATGACCTTAACTGGCTTTAGTTATATCGCAACTATTGAAATGTGACTGCCACTTATAGTACGATGTAGTCCAGCATGTACCCTGGTCTTGGGTTGCGGATTTACATATGCAAGCGTCCTTCTGGACTGCGTGCAGTTTATTTTCTAAATCCTCGGGGTCCTTGGGCTAGTCTCGTCTTCTTGTTCCACGGGATGGCGACTGCAACGTAACGATTCGGTGGTCTCAGCGTATTCGTTCATCCGCAACTTCTGCGTGTCGGATCGAATTTACGTTTCCAATCAACGTTTGCGTGTTGAGTTTGGGTTGATACGTCTCTTCGCCGTTTGCCTTCGTCGGACAGCTTCTCGAATTTTATCACTTACTTTGGCACTTACCGTCGTTGTTCCCTCAACGTATCACTCACTTTTTCGGGCATCCAACCGCTACCACCAATTCTGTTGTCGACTCGCAGGTGCGTAATGGAACCGCTTCAAGACGAGTCCAGAGGGATTTTTGCCAGGACTCAGGGCTCAGGATTATAACTTTTAGGATTATACGCGATTTCATTATTTAAGTTCTCGGATTCATACACCGACTGAACACCTTATATGTACTCAAACGTTTGATCGACCTATTCTGTCTGATCGACTCTTGGATTCAATGTGTCATACGGTAGTTTGCATTATCAGGCTACCGTTTTAAGGCGACCTCACCTAGAGGTACCGCGCGCTCGGCCCCCGCCCCGTTTCGGATTAGCCGAGGACGACCGACACCCTTGCCGCGAAGAAAGGGTCTTTATTCCTTTTCGGGACCCTTCGCGGACCGTACTTCACCTTTCCGACTGACGCACTCCTTAACAATTCCCTCATAAACCTGCTTTCTCTGCCTTTAGTCTCAATGCATGCCGATTACTTTACAACATAATCCTCGACAACTGAATTTCCTCACGCTTTAGTTTATTACTTTATAACATTTCCTAGAACGGCCCATCCTTTAATTTGTTCCTGGATATCCCCACCTTCTTCCTTGTAAATACGGGACATTCCCTTTCTCTTCTTTTTTCATCCAATCACCTTTTTTCGAAATCCACCCTCTTACATCTCACGAACCAATCCGCGGTCCTTGAACTTTTTAACTCCACCCTCGAAGAATACTTTCGAGGTCTCCCTTTTCGGGTACAAGCTACGACAACTCAGAATCTCCTAAGATCTCCCGCGAATCACTTCCTCGTAACTCAAGCAAAATCCACTCTCGCCAGTGGTCCGCACCTCCGCGCTACTTAGAAGTACGCGTCCGCCTCTCATTTAATCATCACTATTAGTTGTTTGTTTAAGTTTGTAAAATTCTTTAAGAGTGTTAGCAATAAATTCTCGTATTGTTCAAGCTTTGCATTCGGCACCGCTTCTATTGCTTGGAATCTTCGATTCCTCGAATATATAATATACAATAACTAATACTCATAATCGTAAGATAATACTAAGTGGTTTACTGAAAATAGGTGTATATGTCTACTCCTGAGACCAACCTGCCCGTTTCAGTTCTTAGTTTTGACTTTCATTCTTCTCGACTGTAATTACTAAGGTTGATTTTTCTGCGTTTGCAGTTTCGCGGCCGTAACCATGTATGGTCACGCCGCTCAATTCTTAATTCGTGAATGTTTGCGGGATCATCGCCTTGTGTTTCTAGACCGTCACCAAATATGGGCATGTTGCCCGGCTATTAGCAACGAACCTTGCTTAACACTGTATCGGTAGTCGACTTGCGCCCCCGGAAATGCCGATGCGAAGTTTCTTAATCTTCGTTTGCGCAAATAGGAAGTTATTAGGGCTACAACGGACCACTGCTGCTTCCATCGAGTCGGCGACGTTAAACTTCTCGCCAAAGTCGAATCAGCTGAAGCCGTGCTAGAATTGTGATAGTTCGAACCATTGGTTTAAGAACTGGCGAAAGTCAAAGAAAAAGTATTATTGTTAAAAATCCAGCCTTCTCGAAAGGGACCCCGAGTGCAAATGATGCACGGGAAAAGGAAAATGGGAATGAATGGGTCGGTCCTCTCGACCTCCTCTGCTCCTGACCTTAACATTCAACGTGATCCTTCGAATGAGTTTCACTCGCTTATTCGAGATCATCATCGACGGCGCGCGCAAAGAATTGTAGTCGAACTTAATTGGGACTTGCCACTCAATCGCCGAAGTGAAGCTCCATCCGGAAGAATTGTTGCGGAATTTCGGAGCTCACCGAAATGGAGCAACGGAAACTCGACTACTTTCTGGCCAAGGAAACCCCGAGCGTATCGAACAGCAAAGGGAGAACAACCCTCATTGAGCATAAGATTAACGTGCAACATCATCCCGTGATAACACAAAGATATTATCTCGTTTCTCCTCCAGCTCAGCAAGCCATGTATGCTGAAATCGATCGCATGCTGACTGAAGGAATAATTGAGCCATCGAACAGCGAATGGTTCACACTCGTGGTCATGATCAAGAAATCGAACGGAACGTATCGATATTGCCTGGACGTTCTCAAAGTCAATGCAGTCTCGAAGGAAGACGTTTATCCGCTGCCTTACATAGAGGAAATTCCGGATAAATTACAATTTGCTTCGTATATCTCGACGATTGGCTTAAGCTAAGCTTTTCACCAGATCCCCCTTGGAATGTCCAGTCGAGAAATCACCGCTTTCACGGTTCCCGGGAAAGGCTTGTACCAGTTTAACCGAATGCCTTACGGTTTGACAGGAGTCCCGGCGATGTTCCAACGATTGTTAGATCGATTGATCGGATCCGAGACGGAACCTTACGCTTTCGTAACGAAGTCCGATATCTAAGCTTCCAAGTAAACCAAATCGAACTCCAGACCTACCCCGGAAATGTTACACCAATTCTCGAATACCCGCAACTGACCAAAATTCCTCAGTGTTGATGATTTTTAGGAATGCCTTTCTGGTACCGACGCTTTTTATAAGACTATGCGAACTTGTCGACCCCTCTGACGAAATTGTTAAAAAAAAAATGTCAGAGGATGGAGAAACCAAACAAGAAGAAGCCTTCCAGTAGATTAAGAAGGCCTTATCTTCCGCACCTATTCTGCAACCCCTGATTTCACCTTACGATTTATCGTACAAACAGACGTGAGTAGTTTCGGTATCGGCGCCGTTCTGACGCAACAAATCGGTGATGTCGTACACGTGATCGCGTACGTGAGTCGAATGCTTACGGGAGCCGAACCTGACTATACGGTGACCAAGAAAGAGTGCCTCGCCGTTATCTAGACCGTCCGAAAATTTCGACATGACCATGAGAGTTTTCGCTTTACGGTAATCACCGCTCATAGTAGCTTATGGTGGCTTGAAGAGCCCGGACTTACGCGATGGGCACTCCATCTCCTAGAATACGCCTACATAATCGTACATCGAGGGAGAGCCATACCTCACGTTCTAGATGCGCTCTCCCGGTTGCACGAGTTCCAGGCAACGGATGAGACTGAAAAGGACGAAACCGAGCCGTCCCCTCTTGCGAAGAAATCATGGTAACGCCGCCGACTCGAACGTGTCCAACGACTCCCCGGGAGAAACGAAGAATGGAAGATCGAGGGTCAAAATCTGTATCGATATCGCCCTAACTTATTCCTCGATTTGTTTGTACCCGATTTAAATGCGTAGAAATTCGTGATGCCACCATCTTGTCAAGAAGATATTCTCGCTGAGGCCCATGACGAATGACAAGTCGGAAACCTTGGAGTCGCGAAGACGTTCTATCAAGCCCAAGAAAATTATTATTTGCCTGATGTGTAAAGAGACGACTTGTGGTACGTTAGAGGAAGCGAGACGTGTCAACGATGTAGAGGAGCAGACCGCTCTCCCGAGATTAATGGGACAACACGGCACTCACGATCCGTAGAAAGTGATTGCCGCCGATGTTAGGGGACCACTCCCCGAAATCTCATCGGATATTCCTATATCCTGGTCTTTCGCGTCTCCACGCGAAATGGATCGAATGTATTCCGCTGCGCGTTGCGAACTCGCAAAAAGTCGAACTTGTCTTTGAGAAAGACCCATGGGATCCATTTCGCGATCTTGCGGATGTATCATTCCCAAGCGAATTCCGTCAAACGGATTAATCGAGTTCATAATACTAAAACCGGCACACGTGAGTCGCGAAAGCAACCTCGGGACCCATGCACCTGACCCCGAACTGTGTGCTGCCGTATCCCACCGACTACGGAGTCGTCATCGGAGGCATCAGGACTCGTACTCGGTACAGACCGAATACGAGTGCTGATAGAATAACGCTGCATCCCTGGTACTCGCAACCAAGCCGGTCGTTCCCAAACATGGTAGAGGATGACCGAGGAAATCACCGATTCCCAGCGCCATTCCTCCGGACGTTGCAACTCTGAACGATAACCCATCGGAGACTAACGGAGGAGTTACGAACTCTTCTTAGCAGACTCCCCGTTACGCTCTCCGTAACCTAGTTAAATAATTTCCTCGTCCACCGAGCTCGTTCAAAGGTTAATTTGCTCTTGACGGGGACTGTACTGCTGTAAGTGTCCGACATCAGGATCCTATGCCACTGACGGAGGAGGCCATCGAGGATACCATCATGGCCAGGGTCCTCGTACCACTAGCTGCTCTCTTGACGAATTGGTATCGCCTCAGAACCCGACGGCTGAGCAACAACCTCGCCCATCGCCGGAACCCGTCGACTTCTGGAGGAACCCGAGAGATGGCGCCGACCATTGGGTCTGTCAAAAAGGAGACTTGGCGGTAGCAGCCATTAGTCGACTTCGCGACTCAAACGCCTCGACTCGGGCCGTAAATTTCATCTGCTGTTCAAACCCCTCGACCACCTCTCGCTTACCCGGTTGCTACGCAGGTCGTCGTCTACGAAGTGGCTACAATCGACAGCTGGACTTCCTACGAGGGCAAATCAGCAGGTGGAATCGTCACCCCGAACGCTCGACATTATTCATTACCGTCATGTCCAAGGCCTCCCGGAGAACCCATTTCATGGGACCCTACCCCTACGGAGAGAACTGCCTCTCGACGGGAGCAGGAGCGTGCTACGATCTGGAGCTGCTCTATTTGTTTCGAGGTGGGCCATGCGTGGCCCTATTATCGAAAGCCCCTGCATCGCCTATTCTGCCACAAATGTTGCCAACAGAAAACGATCATCGAGGACTGTCTATTCTGCCGCCCTCGTCGCTACTTAGCGAATTCCGGCCACACCGAACCTTCGGCAGTCCAGACTATTTCGACCATCTGGGCCTTATGTCCCCTGTTATGAATCGCCCCCAAGGGACCAGACGCAAACTCGATCAGGACCGCACAGGGACACCGATTGTTTCTACGGGATCATATAAAGATCATACGTTTTTTTTCTTTTCTTTTTATAATACTTTCGTTTCGCTTATCTCGACCCTGTCGTTATGTTTCAATTGTAACTCGTGATAGTCGCGTTTAGTTTTCGTTTTCGTTATTATTCCTCCGATCGGTTCTCGTTATGTTTTCATACTACGTACCTGTTAATCCCAAAAAACATAATAATTTGTGTACCGTAGTATGGAAGTTTTTGCCACTGACTTCTCCTTCGACTACGTCAATTCTAAAGGTGGGAGGGTGTGATGAGAATATCAGAATTCGTTCGAGACGCGTCTGGACCAGTCGAACATTTCATTGTTTACGTTTGGAGAGCTAGCGCCACCGCTCCCCCCCCCCCGTCCCTCTCCTTCTGAATTTTAACCCTTTTAGTGCCGGGCGAAAAAGAGATGCTTATGCGAAGATAACCGGCCGAATTTTATGATTTTACTAGGATTTGGAAAAAGGTTCATAAAAACCAAACGAAAAGCAATATTTACATAAGTCAAAAAGCAGGGTATTAAGGACAAAATAGAGAATAAACCAGTGACGCTAATTTTTCTATATTCATTGAAAATTACATAAATAACAAAGGTATAAGTGATAAAAAAAAAAGAAAAATTGAGTTCTCCGTTTCAAAACGTAATTGCACATAGGAAAAGTCATCTTTTTATCATACATTTATATAGACCGTTTATTGCAAAGTATATACTTTAAATTTCCAATATATTTTTTAACAAAATAAGTAATATTGCACAAGAAACATAACAAATAACTCCAAGGCACATGGTAGGCGCCGGACGGATTATCTCATCCGAAACAAGTAATTGTTATAGGTTATAGGTTGTTATAGGTGTTGTTGTATCGTTATTTTAATTCTCTCGTAATGAAATTAGACTATTTATAACGTATTATAAATTTATTTTGAGATGGAGATCTCTCACAAAGCGAATAGCAAAGTGCTACAAGGTGCGGGCCGATATATCGGCTCTGGCACTTTTCGCCAGTGCAGCGAGGGCCGATATATCGGCCTCCGGCACTAAAAGGGTTAAGGAACCTGTCTGATCATCCTAGCGAGTTCTTATCACTCCTCCTCGCTCAGAAAAATTGCTCGTTTTCGAGGTTCGATGTCCGATCGTGATCGACCGGACGCGAGTGACTGGCATTGCGACTGACGAGTGTACAGGAGTGGATACGAATGCCTTCTCTTCCAATACTGGCGACTCTACCCACACACCGAAGGCATTCATGTCCGTCCCTATACGTGGACCGCCTTTTCGATCTCTCGTCGCACCCCGAAGGACCATCCAAGGGATTCCGCCACATATTTATAAATAAAGGATTCAAGGTTGATGGAAAATAAATCCATCTCCTTTCTGGCTACCCCAGCCCGTTTATCGAAAGCAGCCCCTTCACTAAAAACAGGCAGCTAGCTGCGGTCCGAAAAACCTCTGGACCCGATCCGCATTTGGAAGCGACATCGTTCTATGAACGTCTGGCTCCTATCTCGAGCACGCGGTAGATCGGTCGAGGCAAATGCTGTGTCGCGACATCGGCACCCAAACCTTCGAAATTCCCCTGGGCGCCGCTGGTACCTTGTCGATGTACTGACTGGCTCCAACATCGCGTTACATTGAATATAAAAAAAATAAAATAAAATGAAAAGGTTACTAAAATGTAATCTTTAGAAACATGTCGAACGTTATTATTGTACTGCTGCAAAATTATTTTTAAAAATTAGTCTATTTAAATAATGAAGTCAGGTATCGGTGACAAATTTAGACGCATTCTTAATCCGTGCGTAGACAGTCTACTAAAGCGTTGAAATCATTCCTCCCTATGAAGGAATTCTTCGAAATTCAACCCCAAAGGGAATGAAAAGGACTAAAATGTGTTTTAATAGATTTGTTAATATTTCTCAAGCCTGCTGAGATATTGACTTAGTTTTTACTTAAAAAGAATACATACACACATGCCAAAAACGGAGTTAAGGATTTTACCCTAACCAAGTCCTAAGGGGGTGAAAAGGAATAAAAAAGGAATATTTAAAATCCCAAATTCTACCTGCACATATCACAAACGAAGCCGAGACGGGGAGGCTAGTTTATTCATATGTAGATATTAATGGAGTTATTATTTGACCGCGAAGTATTCATTGAAAAGAAGCGAGATATGATTCTATAAAAAATATGCGGCGTTCCTATATTTGAGAATATAAGGAAGAAATTCTTCGACAAAAATGCCCTGCGAGAATTATATTAATTAGTAAGACAATGTCAACTCACCTAAACATGCTAATACCGCAATGGTGTACCTCTTGGAGAGACAAGGACATTCGGGCATGCAGTAAGTGTCGATGTGTCGTAATGGAGGCCTTTCGGGTTCCGGAAGTGAATCAAAAGATGGATGCGTGGCGTACCCTCGGTCGTCCTCGAATCCTTTATTGTCTTTAACACCCGAGTTGGGCGGCATTGCAAATTCTTCATAGCCTGCTGCATTGTTTCTTCTTATTCTGTAGGAAGTTATTTCCCAGAAATTAAAATTAATAATAACGCTTACCAGGACCGGTTCCTTACGCAACCATGCAAGAAGTGTTTCAGATTTGTTCTAAAATGAAATGTTTTCCCTATCTAAACATTTATCTCCCTCCATAAATAAAGGCACGAGTACTTACTCTGCAAGTTTCCCTACGGCCTTCGCCCTTAATGTATCGAAGGCAACCAGACCCGCCGTTGCGAATCCGGACATTTTCCAATTATTGGGGTTGCTTCAGGCTTTCTGTCGTTGAGATGGTTTTGTGCAGCCCCTAAACATGAACAAATATTTATCTATTTCTATTGACTGCAGAAGTTATCTAATTAAGGTGAAGTGAAACCCCCTTCAAATCAGTCGATTCGAATACAACACGTTTTTTTAAGGGTATTAGACCAAACTGTCCGAAACTTTGACACATCACTCCTGATCATCTAAGAATTGTCCTGACACGTTCAAAATTTGGATTTTTAGAAAAAATTTTTTAACTTAGCCCAGACCAGAACCAAAATGGCGTCGAGCTCTCATATTTCGATCAGTATACAATNAACGCGCAGGACGCGTCTCTCGCAGCACACAAAGCTGTGACTTTCTCACTCAAAAATGTATTTGGCTCGAAACTCTACCAAGTTTCTTGATCAAATTATTTTTTTTTCCGTGTACTGACATTACAGGCGTAACTGATTAATGCGTAAATTACAATGGCAATTTTTTACAATTCTTTCCAATGATACTTTCTCTTCATTTTCACATATAAAAAACGTGAAATTGTATGTGATAGTTATTGTACGAAAACGACAGATGGAGTATGCCATTTGGTACAATACCCAATATAATTCAACACAGCTGTCGGATATAAAAACGAACGTCGGCAACGTAGGCATTTAGAAAAATCTTCTTTATCGACGTCGATTAAGTTCCTCGACGTGTTTCACTTCACCTTAAGTCAGTAGATTTGAATTAGGCACTTTTTTTAACCGTATTGCACCAAAATGACTGAAATTGTAGTACCCAACTCGTGAGCATATGAGGAATATCCTAGCACTTACAAAATTTGGATATTCGAAAAAATGTTGTTGGCTTAAACCACAATCAAATCTCTTACATTTTGACCACTATGCCATCTCTACAAAAACAACTTCGGTAAAAAAAAACGCGCCAAATACATTCTATTGGACAAGTCTACTTATCTGCTATGCCGCAGATAGTCGACCACAGCCTTATCGGCGTCCTCTATACTATGCGTTCCGTTCGGGAACGCGATTCATTGACTGTGCTTCAATTAGTTATTACAGGAAATTTATGCACTGTAGGAAAAATAGTATAGGACTTTTCAACTCCTTTTTCAACAAGGATAGCGCTGTATAAACCTTGACTACCAATTTCGTTACACCCTGTATATTGTTTCAATTGTAACGTAATATACGTGTTAAGCAAGAGTGATTCATTACTACTATACGCTCAATTATTACTTTATGGGTATGTTCTTGCAAAATTGTATGAAGAAACTCGGTAGAGTTTCGAGCCAAATACATTTTTTAGCGAAACACAGCGTCGTGTGCTGAGAGAAACGCGCCCTGCTCGCTTGAACTCGAACGAGACGCTAGAGCGTTCTATATAGGGGGTCGACACTGCCATGTATTGGGGTGTAACGCTTTATGCACTACCGCCATCTTCGGTTGGAGTAAACCTTCTTCGCGAACTAAATTATTTGGCGGGCTATTCAAATTCATTTATTAAACGAAGGGATATTTTCGGGATTTAAAAAGTACTTGCAATGATTAAAACAGGCGTTGCTTAAACTGACACACACAAATGTAAGAAAACAGTATATTAAACATAAAATAAGTAACAAAAGGGTCAGTGGCGCAACGCCTGTTTTAAATCACTGTAAGAACTGAAATAATTACATAAACATTAGTTAAAAAGTAACATATTTATTAAGATAAAAATATTAATTATTATGAATGTATAAATATACAAATTCTATACAAATTTTATTTTTGTTATGATTACTTTCATGGATTAAATGCGATCTATAGATCGCATTTAATCCATTTAATTATTACAATTATTATAGTAAGAAACTACAAACTGTTCTCGATTTACACTTTTACTCACAACCTCACGTTCGCGATTTAATACCCGAGGTAATCGAAACTTGTAAAAATATTGCCACTAATCGAGGTTAGGTTCACTTTGGTTCACTTGTCCCGACTATTTTTATGCGCATCTACCCTGCGCCTCCTGGAGTCTGTTGCTATTGGTTAGAAAATCTTTTCTCTGTTCTTCTCTTTCTATCGATCATCATCGACCTCGAGTTTGGTGTCTTTGGTTCTCGGCTCTCAGTTCTTAGCGAGTCTAAGACCGAAACCATCAAATTCGGAAGATCACATATACCTCGAGCCACAGTTGTGCTGCTCGGTACTCCTGTGATCCAAGAGCATCAAGCCAGGAAGGGACGGTGGCATTACTACATCCGTTGGACGGGAGGCTTCTAGGAGACCGCCAACCCTAGGATACGTCATAGGCGAGAAGTGTTCACCATTTTTTATAATAATTCAGTCATTTTGAAATTATATTATTCGCAATGTTCGATCGGCCACTTTGAATTTTGAAATAAACATTCTGTTGTCATATTTGAATTCAGCGATCCCAAAATTCGACAGAAATAAATCCTTTTTTCTTATAAAAATCAAATCAGTCTGAAATTTGATGTCCGCCATATTGGGTCTGCCATTTTGAATTTTAAAATTATATTATCTGACTTAGCTTTAGCGATCTCAAAAACATCAAGAAACTTGTTTTCTATAAAAATCCAATTATTTTAAAGCTGGGATGGGTGTAGTTCCTTTTCGTTCCGCGCGAGACGGTGTCGCATGTTGGCTGCCCAAAAACTGTATGACAGTCCACCTATCATGTCTGTCAGTCCACCTATCATTCATGAGAAAGTAGTCTGTGCCTAAGGCGATCACAATGATGATAACAGAACCACGATTCTGAGAGGCTGAAAATCTTTAAGATGCTATATCTTCACGTAGGTACTAGCGATCGGAGCTGGGTAAATTAAAAAAAATTCCTGTTTTTTTGCTTGATTTTTTTAGCTGATCAGACGTTCATTTCTACTTCTATAGTAATGGGAAAAGTAGATTCCTATTTCTCCCATTCCTGAAATCTCGATCCTTGGCGCACAGAACCCTTTAGCGTCTCGCTTAAGCTCGAACGCGCAGGACGCGTCTCTCGCAGCACACAAAGCTGTGACTTTCTCACTCAAAAATGTATTTGGCTCGAAACTCTACCAAGTTTCTTGATCAAATTATTTTTTTTTCCGTGTACTGACATTACAGGCGTAACTGATTAATGCGTAAATTACAATGGCAATTTTTTACAATTCTTTCCAATGATACTTTCTCTTCATTTTCACATATAAAAAACGTGAAATTGTATGTATATTTCATTATTACTGTTTAAAATACATGATGTTTAATCAAATTTATATTTGGAATTCAGGAGAATACAATACATATGAAACCATGGTTAAAATACTGTGGTAAATGAATCCGCACAAATGGTGAAATTGCCCACATGGGATGATAAATGTAACCTTGCCAATAGGTACTGTGTCCATGGCGCTGCGCTTAAAAAGTGCAGTAGTGATCAACGTTTAAAATGGTAATATTATCTATATGAGGAGATTATATTAACTACAATAAGATAGAAGGTTTATCTGGTAGCTGTAACCACAGTTATAATAAAATTTTATGTATTGCAAGGTTACTCTAAACTGGCTTATGTAATTGCAAAAACAATGGTTTGGCACCATTAGTTTCGACAGAACCACTAGATGGCCAGACTTCTCCCACGCGACGCAGACAGCTCGTTTGCATATAAGACCTACTATTATTCCTTACATTTATGTTATAATGACCCTACACCTTCCCGAAGGAGAGTGAAAAGGGAAGTTATCATCGAGAAATCATCCTTTTGAGCATCAAATATTATTTTACAACTTAAAGTAGAAATATATAAGAACAATGACAGGAACTTAACCAGTTAACTGTGATTGACGAGTATACTCGTCATGGAGAAGTGGCACGATTTTGTGTATTGACGAGTATACTCGTCATGCGTATAAAGTAGGGACCATTGGCTATTTAAATTTTAATTTTTGAGAAAAACAAAACATATTCTCAAATTTCAAGATGTTTAGAATATTTTTAGGCCAGGCCGGAATAAAACAAACGAATAAAAAATATAAATAATTTGAGATAAACTCATGCGCCCCGTATGCACCGGCTGAAACAGCTTGCCATCTATTAGATATTATTTGTTTGAATTCATATATATTATACAAAAAAAATAATGGAACGTTATCGCGAATGAATTTTTTGCTAGAATTTGTTGAGGACACTATTGCATCATATCCAATAACACGGGAAAAATCGACACAAACTCGGCCATCTAGGCCTAATGTAACACAATTACTCGGAAATCATGTTCTGGATCATATACCCAGAACTTCGAACACAAAATATCCTACCCGAAGATGTGCACGTTGTTATAAACGCAAGATCAGGAAAGAATCCCGTTACTGGTGTTCCATTTGCAAAGTCCCATTATGTGTAACACCCTGTTTTGCCGAATACCACGCCACGGCAAGAATTTAAATTCTTGCTATCATATGCATTTAATTTCTCTTGCGTTTTTTGTCTAATAAGTATGTAATATACGTTTAAGTTAACCAAATAAATATACATTAGTAATAAAAGTGTCAATTTCATAAAATAAACCCATCTGTTTGATCCAGTATCTTAACAGTGACACTTACTCTGTGATTGACGAGTATACTCGTCATCGCTCGATTTCGGCGACACATATAGGTGCGCGCTCGCAAAAGGGGGCGCCACAGCTAACTGGTCAAGTATAACGTACGTAATCATAAAAATCGATTTTTTTTTCGTTTCTCCTTTTTTTCCGAGTAAATAAAAAATTAGTTTCAATTCCACAAAGAGTATTGAGATTCATATTCCTTTGCTCTATTCCTATTCTCGTATTTTTTAATTCCTTTGAATCCCGTTCCCCTCTATTTTTCAGAGTGACTTGATAGGAATTAGATTTTGCTTTTTTCTTTTATCGTCAATGGAATAAAGGGCAAAGGAAAAATCAGGTATTCACTGGAATAAAAATTCTTAATTCCAATCAATTCCAGCCTTCTT